TTGGACTGCCCAACTCCAGATTTAGTCCAGGACTGTGCATGTTTTTAATTTTCCTGTAAATAGGGAAGACTTTTCCTTTAATGGGAAAACTTCTAAGTCCTAAGAAAAATGGGAAGATGTGCCATCAATACCCACATAGCCCTCACCTAGTTTCACTAAAGGAATCCTCATGGCTGCTTTCTGTGAGTGTGTGTGTGCATGTGCACATGCATGTAGGAGGCTTACATTTGTCATTTTGTCTCTTCAATCCAATGGAGAAAGTTACCTGATTTTTAATAGCATTTTCTTTTAAAAAGGTTCCATATCAGTTGTTTCACAGAATTGCAAATCTTTTATCCATTCACCTCTGGGTTTGCTTCATGCACAATGAAAGTTAGGCTTGTAAACATGAAATGGTTTCAGGTCAGCAATTTTTAGCTATTGCTTTAGAGTCTTCCAGTGGACAAGCTTAATGAGTATGTGAGCTTTTGAGTATTTTTTTGTGTTTATTTTAGTATATGAAAAAGGGAAAGGTGGAAGAAAAACAACTTTTAGAAATGTAGAAGACCATACAATCATATCATCTAAATCATGCTTATTTTATGGTTTATGTAAAACATAAATTCCTGTAGTTCCATATTTCAAAAGTCACAACAGTAAGCTATACTTCTGATGTTATTGCAAAGAAGAAAAGTTTGTCTTTCAGATTTAGTGTTTGTAACTTTCCCATTAATTACAAAAGACTTAGTTCTAAGTAGCTTTTTGTTTGTTTGTTTGTTTGTTACAAGGGTTTGAACATCAGGGTGCTAAACCACCAAGCCACATCCCCAGTCCTTTTTTATATTTCATTAGAAACAGGGTCTTGAGGAGTTGCTTAGGACCTCTCTAAGTTGCTGAGGCTAGCTTTGAACTTGGGATCCTCCTACCTCAACCTCCTGAGCTTCTGGGATTACAATATAAAGCCATTTATAAAATTGTTTTTCCCTTTAGTGCTCTCTGATTATTTAAAATTCATCAAATTGTAATTATTTATCAAATCATTTTGCATCTTTATTTTGAAACACTAATTATCTAAACATTTCAATTTTTTTCCCCCTAAAATCAAATCAGATCTTTCACTGGCAAAAGATCTAAACCGTGTATTCTTACATCCCAAAACATGAATCAAATATCTG